GTACAGACGAGTAATACACTTAAACCACACGCCATGCGTGTACACAGAGAGACAGAGAGAGAATTATTATTACGTGCGAGGTATATTGTTGTGTGTATATATGTATATGTGTATCGCACCGAGTATTAGTTGCACGTGCCCTGAGACCTGAAACCGACCGCTGCCGGTGCCGCAACGACGCCCGCGACTAAATAAATATATTATGCGCGTATCCTACCGACAGAGGGCAATACACTATTGCCGCGCCCATCGCTTCGCGGGGGGAGATAGAGTAAAATTACTTACTTACAACGCTCTTGGTGCCTTTTGCAAAATTTTTTACTGCTACGCACCACGATTCGTTTGTGAGATAGAAGAATTCGTTATACGTTTTTGTGGAACAATTCCAAGCTCGACTGGATACAAATATAATCAAACTTGTGGACTTGCAGACTGATGAAAAGCACGATTTTTGAGGAGGATCCAGGGAATATAAAAAAAAAAAATTTGTTACAAGAGTTCGCGAAATAATACTGTGCAATTTAACGAGTACATTTAATTGGTGTATAACTTTTGACGTGAAGCAAACTTTATCGTTTTGACCACGATTTTTGTTCGTTTTTAACAAATAAGTTTAATATTTAGTACCAATCGCAGATAAAATGTACTAATTTATAAAGAGTTTAAAAATTCTTAAATAAAAGAGCTTTTAATCATTAAAAAATATGTTTACCAAGAATCATACGACTGTTTGCTCAACTTGTTTTTTCGAATGATTGTACTGTAGGTATCTAGTAGAAATAAGTATTAACTTTGCTAACGATAAATTGGGCTTATGATAAATGAAGTGTAAAACTATACGAGTCAGAAATATATTTTATGCTCTTGATGACAAGTCAACGATATATTATCTTTAAGATAAAGAGCAAAATCAATGTAAAAATGTCACGACGTTGTGTCCCCCCGAGCTGTATAATAATACTGCTTACTTTACTTGCCCGAGCAATGCTGACGATCCACTTGATTATTCTGCCAAAGTATACTTATGTGTGTAATGGAGCGTTGAGGAATACATGCACGTTTATAATGCAAAATTTGGTAAAGACGAAAATACAAGTGACGTTACCAAAGTGGGTCACGGCGAGTGTTTGGCGTCTGTATAAACTAAGGCTTGATGTACCAAGATATACACGTTGTAAGCCGATTTGATATACACATATGCAGGGTAAAATAGGAAAATTAGGTGGTTTTCGTTTTTAAATTCTATACTTTGCTAGGTGTATGTCGCGTAATAAAATATTATTCAAAAATTAAATGGAGTATTAAACTTGTATCGCAAGAATATGGTTCGGATGAAAATTTAAAGCATGACGGTACACATTGAAGATACGTGATCCAAGAAATTGTGATTGTTTTTTTATTTTAAATCTTACGTGACATGACTTTTTACGAGGATTATAAAATTGTCTTACTAAACGTTTACGGAAAAATTTATGTTTTTCGGAAGATAAGGAATCGATGGCTCAATTGATGAAAATTTTTATATAGATTGCATATCTTGGCGACAAAAGTGACTATCAAAAAGAAAAATAACAACATTACAATATAGTTATTATCTATACTTCAAACCTTACTCCTCTTTCAACGGGTGATTCGCAACCAACAACAACACTATCCTAAGAGTAAATTATATAGTTTTAAGCGTAAATAAAAACAAACAAACTCACTTTTTTGTCAAACACACGTCACGTCTTGCTCTGCAATACTTAACAATGATTGTATACAATTGTAACAATATCGTCCTGTCAAGCACAAGCCTGATGCCACCTACGCACACGCGTCACAAGATCCGTTTTGGCGGGACTAACCAATAAACGCGACATCTGCCGGTATACGCGCATTTTAAAAAACTGCCACTCCCTGATTTATCAACTGTTGAACTTTTTACCGATTACATTGAAAAATTTGAATTTTATAATTGTAAAAGTCAAAGAAAATTAGATTTCATTTCAACATTTTTCGGCCCAAGGGTTGGGAATGACGCTTGTGAGCAACACTATTTTTTCCTATATCGAGTCACCAAAAATGCTACGAGGTAAGTATAGGTACTTAATTGTCATTGTACTTATACTTTTAGAAAATCGTATGTTGGAAAGTTTACATATCGTAACCGGAAGATCCATTTCTTATCTATACTTGTCTGATTATTTTTTACTAAAAGCATTTCTATAATTTATTACTTAATTTTTCAAGAATTTTCGCTCACGAATACCAATACCATCAATGTTTAGTTAAACTAAATGACGATGTCTTATGCAGAATTGTAGTTCGAGGTAAGAATAAAATAACTTAAAAAAGGAAATGTATTCTATACATGCAGAAAAAAAACTCAACGTGTACTAATATACGATGCGTCGAAATGATTTGTGTGAAATCGATCATTGATTAAATAAATTATCCGGATGAATTCACTCTAGGCAATTTAATCGCGTATCATCGAATAACGTTTTCATTGACTTAAAAAGTAAATCAATTATCTACAATATATATCAGTTTCAATATCTTATTGAATTCTTATACATATTACTTATCATCTCAATACATTCATACAACCGACCTTAATCATCTTCGTCGATCTGCTCGGCAGCCTCAAGAAGCCCGGGTATGTCCAAGATTCCACACTGAAACTTACAGGCACTCATTTCTCATCCAATCCACTCTCCTTCTAAATTCACTGGGAATTACAGTTTTCGACACAAGGTTAATAAATAAATTTCAAACATTTCTTTTTAATAAATTGCTTGATTCTGATTCCCATGATTGGAACCGTGAACAAGGCATTATCCCACGACTCTAAAAACATTTTAAAATGATTTTTAATAAAAACAAATTTATACAATCTTACAATACTGTTAAAATAAGTCTAATCAATTACGTTAAATTTATTTGTTGCCAAATTACACTATTATTACTATTACCAATTTTATTAATTATTTTGTCAATTCTAATTATATGTATTCTGCGAACTATTACTTTTGTCATCTTCACTGTATTCTTATTCCATTGTTATTAATTATGTTGATTAATAAATTATTTGAGAACCATACGTGGTTATACCACAAGGTTTGAACAAAGAATTAATCTAATCTAATCTAATATTTTCGAATAAAAAAAAAAATGTGACATCAATGTGTACACTACGACATTATCGCTGTATAAATTCGCAACGTGACCACAAACAAGTGCTATTATTGCTTTTATTAATATCTTATGATTGAAAAAAACATACGAGTCGTAAACTATTTCCAACTCTCATGTGATCCACACAACAATGCCCAGCAATTCCCACGTCACGTGTACCATATACAAAAAATTTTCAAAGATAAATCCATATACCTGTATGCACGTAGAAGCGATCAGACGATTTTGTAAGTCGATAATATACGTGCACGTTAAAACAAATGTACAAAAAAAATTTGACTGGTACCGAACCGTAGACGCGCTGCAACTAATCGCTGCGCTCCTTTGTGCACGACTCCCGAGAGATATGTTTGAATGATAAAAATTTTCGACAACGGATAACAATCAACACCTCCAGTCTAACCTTCAGGCGAAGAAAGCCGTGCAAGAATCATAGGTACTTATTCTATCCGTATATAAGCTCCCATTGTTTCTTTTATGTATATTTGTTCACCCAATGTCCGTCAAATGTACTAAGTATATATACCTACGCGATCGAGAGAGAAAGTTTATATCTAATGGTCCATCTCTTGTAGCGGACAGATGGCAAGTACCGTACATTTATGGGTACATTGTAATACCAGCTCTGCGTATTGTGAGGCCACAGAGTTTGTTCTCATCACAGTTGTACCGTACGTTAAAGTACGTTAACAAAAAAACGATGAACTACTTAGTTGCGATGCCGCCGGGGCCATTCAAAGGGCCATTTCTTTTGATCGAACTGTTTTTTTTTTTTTTTTTTTGTTTTTTTTTTCGTGAATTAACTAGCGAGTGCATAAAAATTGGTACGGCTCACGATTAACGCGTTTCACGTTCACTTAGTCCAAGGTGCACTTTGAGTTTCCAAAAAAAAACACTTCGTGCTCTTGACGTTTGACGAGATGTAAAAAGAGATGCGCTGAACTTTGCGAGCCGAAAACAAGGGGAAAAATGCACGCGCACTGTTTTTGCTTTTTTTTCAAGAGTTTTACAGGAGAACCTCCGCGATGGCTACATGCCATGCACTTTAGGCCGCGTGTGTCTTTTAACGCAACGCTTTTTGCATGCGAGTGACTGACGCTTCGCGAGTGCTTCCCCCCTCCCAAGTTGAAAAACTTTACCGAGAATGGCGTGTAAGTAGCTTTTGAATTGAGAAAAATTTCACGCTAAAATCCGTAGGGTGAAAATTTACGAAAAAATTATTCGATTCTTGGCGAATAAATGGAAATTGGGCGCAGGATGATGCGTATGAAAGCTCACTTCTTCGAGATCGAGACTGCTCGTGTTTTTTTTTTGTTTTTTTTACTATCATTCAAAATTTTGTGTATAGATGGGTGCACTTTGAGTCGAATAAATACAAGGCTGCTAGAATTTTTTTTTTTATTAATTTGTAAAAAAAGGTTGTTACATAGCATACGTATTATTTTCAACAATAAATAAATAAGAATTAAACAGAAAAAAGAAAGAGGGCATGGTTGACGATTAGCGAAAGAAGCAGATGCCTGGCTGAGAGACTCGTAGAATGAAGATTTCGCGTTATTTCGTCACAATATTGCAGGTAAATCCATGTGTGTATCAAAATTTTCGTCACTACAACGTCTAGGATTGTTTTTTTTTTTTTTTTTTTTTTTTTTTTTTTTTTTTTTTTTTTTTTTTTTTTTTTTTTTTTTTTTTTTNATTTTTTTTTTTTTTTTCATTTTTTCATTTTTTCAATAGCGTTCGGCGAGAGTTTTCAGGAGGAATCAGTCATAGAAGTATGGGGATTGCAAGAAAATAATGAACGCTTCAGTCGACAGGTGCAATGTTGTACATCGTGTGACAAAACATTTTATTGAAACCCGACGCCTCAAAGTATCGTCAAAAACAATTTTCTGCGTACTTTCATATCGTATTTGTGGTTTAAACGGTGTACAATTAGTGAAAACATCAATAATCATGTATTAAACTTCATAGATTTTAAAATTAATACAAATTATCCGTAAAATTTTAAAATCTTCAACGCATATTTCGAGTCGACGTTAATTTGTCAACAAACGCCTTTCTATACATGGTGATTTTTGAAAAATGACTTCCAATGAACATTTCCAAGAACATATTATCAACAAATCACCGTAAAGTGTATTTACCTACTATTAATATTTGTTTTTTTTTCTCGTATCTTTGTTATCTTATGCACAAGTTGCGCATACTCTTATATTTATAGATATCTTGTTTTGCATTAATTTTTTTTTTTTTTACTTTATGTAACTAGCGGTAACAGATTTTATAATGAGTGTCCACAACGACGTAAACGAAAAGAATCTTTATTCTTTGTCGTTAAGGTAATTGTCATCTCATCACATTTCTCTTTGTTGTGTTTAGAGTTTATTGGAATGTGACAATATGAAAACTGCCACCACGACTCTTACGCTTATATATATATATATATATACGACGTTGATCGACGATGATCTTCGTTTAGGAAATAAAATTTCATATACAATGACTCTCAGTATAAAGTTTTTTTTTCTTTAGCACGAGGAAGTTTAAAACAAATGAAATTGCAATGAAACCTATTTTAAAACAATCGACTTTTAGTTATTTATACACATAGTTCAATAAATGCTAGTCTTGATTGCTTTAAAACATCACTATTGTATTCAACAATTATTTATCGCGTACTCGTTTTTTTTTGTCACAACTTTCGCGATGCATTTTGTTTTAAACAGATAAATATGTCATTAGCCACCAATAAAAACAGCTACTTTTGCAAGCAGCGTTTTTTTTAAACACTAATTATTGTACAAAATTGTAAAAAGTTGCACTTCACCACAAGCGCACCGTTTAAAAAATAATAATAAAAAGAAAAGTAGCTTAAAAATCACTTTTTTCATTTTTGTTCACTTTGCATAATACAGACAAATTTTCAAAAGTCACACAAATCCAAGCAAAAAGCTACGCAGTCGACCCGATATTACTTACGTGGAAAAAAAAACAGTTCGAAAAATAAAAGAATTAAAATAATGAGAGAGCACTCACGTTTTTTTTGTTGATAAATTCTATTTTCTAGGACGACACCAAAGCTTACAGATTTTCTTTACTTCTTCAATTATCATTAAATTTACCTTATCATGTACCATCTGTATCTTTATGTTTATCGATGAACACATCCAGACCAAGCAGTAGATCAATCTTTCTTGCTTGAACCAACGCACATGCACAATGAGGCATTCGCGTTCCCTCAAGCATGTTTTTTTTTTTTTTTTTTTTGTTCAATTTGTTCTATTTTCGCTCAACAAGCAGAGGATTAATGAACACACGTACTTACGACGAGAATATTTTCTTTGTATTTACGCACACGTAATATTTATCATAGCTAGCTCACGAAACTGGATGCGCACTCGGACAGGCACTCGCTGTTACAAAAACTTACTCGATGAAACAAATAATGATTAATCACTTTCCTATTGTTAAATAATGTACAGCACTTGAGATGTCAAGGTGCGGCTGATATTGCACACTTATTCAAAGTTTAATTTGTTGTCTCAACAGCTGATAACAATCCTTACATAACGTACTAAACTTTGAAAGGTGTAACCAACTCTTTTCATTTAAAAACTATAAATTTATATTATGATTAGAAGTTTAGTTTTTTTTTCGTCTAGTAACAATCACAAAAAAATATAAAATCGTACTTTTGAAAAGTAGTACCAATAATTTTGTGCTTTTTAAAAGACTTGTCGATTAATAATCAACCACGTATCATTAACTTACAACTTATAAGTATAGAAAAGAAATTGCATCTTAATCTAAAGATTAACGAAATTCCTTAAAACACAAATACTTTTTTTTTTTTTTTTTTTTTTTCGTTTAACACGCAGTACTTAAAAACTGTACAAATACAACGTTTTATAATTTACATGTCAACTTGTAAGTATTATCAGAATGACCTCGTTCAGTTTATAAAAAGTTTTAATCACCCTTATGTTAATTTAAAAATTTGTTTTCCATCTCAACGTCACTTCTATTTTAGTTAAAATAACGTTGATATCTCTATAGTTTGCCCAACAAATGTATCATTTTATCAATATATACATCTCAAGTTATGGGCAAAAGCACGCAATGAAATAAATAAAAGAAAAAAAATATATATATTCTGCGGATGCATCTCCACGAATCCAGTAAGCTGACCAGCCGCACTCTCGACACCATAGCTTCGATCAACGATCATCACCAAATACTCGCTGATGTCTCCCGCATATAGTTAAAATGTCCCTCGCTATGTTTTCCCCAAAACAATCATTCATTATCGATAGATAAATATTTCGCAGTAAAAACTATGCTTGATTACTTCTAGTTGCCAGAAATTGTCCGGCACAACGAGGAAACGCACGAACCAATTTGTCCTATACATATGCGTACTCGAAAACGACGACGACGACGACGTGAAAATGCATTCGGCGAAGTAACAACACCAATAAATAAACAAGACAATTCTCTTCGCGCACAGGCGTCTCTTGACACAGCACTCCAACGCGTTGGAATCACAAAAGAGAAAAAAAAACAAAACTCACGACGGTAACAACGATACATCATACGGTACAACGACGCAAGAAGGAGTGATGCAAAAAGGATAAACAAGCCCCAAACGAGTCCTGGTGCACTTAATGCCTATGGGCACTACCCCTGTCGTCGACAGTGTCTCGATGCTGCTGCTGCTGCTGAGGCCGAGCACCCGCGACGTTGGAGGCCCTCCTGCGCCTGTTGTTGCCGCGTCGCCTCGTCGTAGCGAGCGCCGCCGACCCCGTGGATTAGGCGAGCTTCTTCTCGCTCGCGTTGTTGTTCGCCACGTAACCATTGTTCGTGCCGCTGCTGTAGCAACTGTTGTACTCCTTGGTATAGATCGTCGCGTACGACGAGACGCCGTTCTGTCTGAGCTGTTTCACCGTCCCGTTGTTGCCGACCATCGTCGTCGTCGTCGTCGTCGTCGTCGCGCACTCGTCCTCCAAGACGGGCATGCACGCGCCGTTGTTGTTGTTGTTTGTGTTGTTTTTACTACTGTTGGTGCGCGCGTGGCGCTTCTCCCCGCCGTCGCCCGTGTACTTGGCTTTGTAGAAGTCGGAGAAGAGCCCGAGGAACAGCAGACCGTGCAAGCCGATCCAGATCATGAAGCTCCGCGGGTAGTCGCACTCGGTGAACAGCAGCTGGAACTGGTGGCTCATTATCATCACGAACTGAACCTGCGAGACGGAGAGACGTTTTTTTTAATTTTTTTTTTTATTTCATCACACTTGAGATGCTTGTATAGGGAAACAGTGACAAACCATTTGGAAGGTGGTGAGGTACTTTTTCCACCATATGTACTTTTGGTACTCGGGGCCCATGGCTGCGATCATGTAGTAAAAGTACATGATTATGTGGACGAAGGTGTTGAGCAGAGCGAAGAAGGTCGAGTGGCCGCCCGGGGCGAACTTTAGGCCCATCCAGACCGAGAAGGGCATTATACCGTGATGGATCACGTGGAGCGTCGAGACGTGCTGGTTCTTCTTGCGCAGGATGAAGAACAGCTGCGGGAAACAGAGACATATTTTTTTACTTTTATTATTATTATTTTTTTTTTTTTTTTTCATTAAATTTGTAAAGGCGTGACTACTCGCTGTAGGTATATTATTAACTTTGAGACTTTGATCAATGATCGCAAGGGATGCTACAGGCAGGCGAGGGTGGAGGGAAATAATTGAGAGAGGAAGAAAAATGATGCTGTTTCGCGGAGTCATCGGAACCCTTGACGATTGAAATATTTTTTTTTTTTTTTTTTTTTTTTCTTTTCGCACAACAATGGTGCAACTTGACTTACGGTGTCAAAGAACTCGGTGAACTTGCTGAAGTAGTACCACCAACAGGTCGCGGCCATGCGGATGGCCTGGGAGTTGTTCGAGTAGTCGACCGGCTGACACCGGAAGCTGTAGCCTCTCGCCCAGCCGCTCATCAAGTACTGAAAACATTACAAGAGCATTTGGTTGCGTGTTAATTTATTGCTATGTGGTTGGCTTAATTGTTAAAAATCTTTTTAGTTGTGAGTGAAAAAAAAAAAAAAAATTGATGTATCATATAAACATGTAAACTAATGTAAAAGTATGTGCGTCGTTGAGATGTAAATTGGGTGTTTTTCCCGCTCTCTTTTCCCTGATTTTAATTTTGCTGGTCTCCGCAAAAATCCACAACAACAGTTAACGTTTATCAAAGTGGATTGGAACGGAAGATTGTACAGTTCGAGATCAGTACGCGTGCGGCTTTGAAATTCTTTACGTGAAATTAGAATTAGGTAGAAACGTGATTAATATTTCCGATAGTCACTTTTTAATGGAAAAAGTATAATAAGCTGTTGTGAATATTTCAAGACTTTTAATTCTAGATTTCGCTTTTACTCTTTGTCTTTTGTGTATAAATAAAAAATACAATAACGAAAGTTTTGAAGATTGTAAAAAATTTGCAATATTAATCGGCTTGCTTTGGACTGTAAGGTACTTTGTGTACAAGACTGTATGATCTGATTGACGTTTCATAAAAATAAAAAAAACTCTTTTAAAGTAACCAAAAAAAATTCATGATCTACCTTCCATAGTTCAAACTAGTGAAAATCAATGCGTTGATATAGACAAATTGGAAAAAAAATATATATATATATATTTACCCCTATATAGTTTTTTCCTATACTTCATATACTTAAATAAACTTGTATAATTTAATTAAATTTATTACATGTACTTCGAAAGAGAATCTCGTAAAATACACGAGTACATTGTGGCAGAGCCCGAGGAGGAACGCCTAATGATGTATATAATTAGCGAGTTAAATTTCGTACCCATTGGCCAATTGGCTTTAATGACCCAACTACTTAAGATTGAAAAGGACCGGATCCACTTCCAAGCGAGCAGATCTGGAAATATCAGGTTTTCTCGATCATTCGCTCGGTCATGTATGCAAAAGTACACATACATACATATGCACTCTGTACTTCTTTTTCTCCTTTCGAAAAGCACGAAAAAAAAATTACTCTCGAAGAATCAACAGAGTCTACGCACGAGTCATCCGTGAGATATCTTTATATGAAAAAAAAAAAAAAAAAAAAACACCCCGTTCGCGTCATTCGGTAGCGCAAAATCTCCCGACGCGCAAAGATGCGAGACATTGAAATGCAAATCCCCGTGGCCGTCAAGCTCTCAATACACACAGTGGACACAGCACCCGCGCGCTCAAGTACAGATACAATCGGATCTTTGAGCGAGTGGCATTTTTCTAGAAACACGCGCAATTAGCTTCGCGACACTTGATCCTTCGCACACATCCTCCGGCGAGTCGGCAAATTTGAATTTGAAATTGTCGCGCTCGAGGTGCAAAGTAACGAGTACAAACACCCGTCCCTCGTTCAATTCAATACGATTCGCTAATTTCATCCAAGTATATAAATATATATTATACGCGCCTTTCCTGAATGCCGGCTTTGTCGCGAGCCCGCATTTTCCTCGTAAGTTGCGTGTAAACAGCACACTTCCCACGGGCGCCACCGCTCGCCCGACGACAAAAACCTCTCGAGGCCTCGCTCAGCCTAAAAAAGATTTCCGCGGCTGCACCTTTGCATATATATATATTTACACATAAGGTATAACGCGCACGTATACAATCCAACAAAGGACAAAGAGGAAGCTGCAAGGACACATCCGGTTCAGCAGCGTCCCCACCAAGGGCTGTTCTGGAAATGCTCCAGGATAACTACACCGCGCGGTTAAGTATGAAGCTCCAAGGTGTTGGCAATGGAGAGGATATTTACAAAGCATACTCCTAGCGCTCTCGGTGCTGGAAAAATTCATTCCAGGAACACCTGGTGTACTCTCTCTGCACCTGTCGTTGGAAAAGCGCGACTTATATGCTCTCTGGGGCACATACCAGGCGTTATCCTTTTCTGGCCAGTCTTATCCGAGCGACCGCGCTCTTATCGAGAATCGATATATTTTTACACCACTTGCATTATATATACTCTGAGAGCGACGCGTGTTAGGTGCAACGCGTCGGTGGTTGGATGAGAAAAAAAGAAAAGAAAAGAAAAAGGTAATTGAGATTTGAGTCGAAGAAAGAGCTGAAAATTTGTTTTCTTCTTCGGCATTGTATTGGCAGTCCTTTCATTTTATACGCAACATAAACATGTTACAGCTGATTTACGAGGATGTTGCGAAACGATTAACGAATCGTTGACAAATAAATAATCCTCCCAGCAATCCTGATGTATGTAAAAATAATTTGTTACCCGTAAATTTACTCATCGTGTGAATAAATAAAATAACAGTCCCGACACCACATAAGTAAGGAAAAAAAATAGCAACCTAACTATTTATCATTGATATTCGAGCCGTTGTGCGATACTCTGTGAATTGGAAAAGAGAGACACATCAAACGTACCTATAGATCGGTATACGGAGAGGGTGCGGGTGGATCGAAGGCTTCGCGTGGAGAAACGAGTTTAAAGGGAGTTTAATCCAGCTGCCGATGATTGAACTCTGCGATTAGATTACTACCTTTCCGTACGTATATATAGACTCGTAGCGCGTGTATACATACACATATACAGGCTTGTACATCTGGTGATGAATGTCTATCGTTGGAACTAAAGTATACTATTATGCACATGAGGAAACCATCGACCGATCGTCACTTTGACAATTGCTCGTTTTTTTACGCGATACCAAGTACGTGATTCACAAATTCTACAGTCGTAATGTACGTGTCATAGTTTGAGAGAAAAAAAAAAAAAAAACACAACTAGTCACGAGCATCGCTTCAGTTTTATTGATTACAAATAAACCTCCTTTGTCTATACAGTACACCTACGCGTACACTTACGCCACTAGGCAGTCGGAGGAACGTTTTGTTTTGTTTTTTTTTTTTTTTACACCGATGTGCTGCTGGGCCGTATAAAACGAGAAACAGTGCCAGTAAAAGCAGCCCCTGCGCCCCCCCACATGTATACATGCATCCACCTAATTAACGATTTGATGTTGTACACGGATAATGCACATGCAAGGGGGGGGGGTGGAAGGGACAACGGTATATAGCCAGCCCAACTCCCTGATGTATATGTATGGTTACACGAGTAATTCCACTAAAAATGTGTCGTTCTGTGCTTGTTATACAAATCGAGTGCTGGATACTGGTTGAAAATTAAAAGTAATTACCAGTTTTACGTGCAATTCGAGCTTACGCTCTTTACGTTTCTTCCAACGTTGTTCCATTTGAACATCCATTTATGGCATAAGCCTGAGTTTTATATAGTTTTTCCATACAAATATTTATTCAAACAACTGCAACTTAACGATGTATATATATATATATTTTTTTTTTCATGTAATAACTCATATATGTATACGATCCCTTTCCTCCCCACGTAGGTATACCTGCGAGGGTAAAATCGACCGAAAGGTGTAATTTGCCGAAGGGCTTATACTTACGTCGATACACCTACAACTACATAATATATACACGGAGGTACACTATACAGTAGCCACACACGCGTCGTCTTCACCCACCCCCGCAAAATGGCCTTTTTCTCTGTACACAACATACGTACAGGTACAAAACAAGTACGTGTCGTGTGGCACGCGAGCTTCGACAAGGGATCATTATCCCTTCGCGACGAGCTACACCCTTATACCCTCCCGTACAAAATTATTCAACAATTGGCTTAGTCCCAAGTACATATACACGTGCATTGGCAGAGCTCGAAGTCATCCGAACTCGGATTACTTATCGCGCTGATGAGCTGCAAGTAACGCCAATACACCGCCGATGCGTCAGTCCAGTGAGTGTTTGCTCTCTCGCAGAGGTGTGTTTTGCAAATAACAATGACGACGGCGATGCGCTGCTCGCGGAGTAGTATGTACACTCGACTCGCGCGCACATATTATATCATACGCGATTCCTGTAACACCTGATGCACACGCTCGGACATTTTGCAAAAAAAAAAAAAAAAAAAAAAAAAAAGAAAAAAAAAACATGCACACGTTTAAAAATAACCGTTGCTTCATTTTCTCGATAAGCTCGGGCTTGTGTTCTCGCGTAGTAAGTATATGAATGCTTTACCGCGCTTACGCGCTCTTGTTCGCCAACTCTTTTTTTTTTTTTTTTTTTTTTTTTTTTTTTCTCCAGTCGACGACAAGCGTTTAGCTACCGCATGTTTTATGAATATAGCAAAAAAAAAAAAACGAGGTATAATCATCCCACCCATCAACTCATCGCCAATTTTGACCAGAGAGAGACCTATTTATCATTCGATGGTAGCCTAGCTCGCGCGATATTTATTTAATTTTTCCCGTATATACTCGCGAGTGGTAGACGCTTGTAACGTGCACCCATAGATGTATATAATATAATGTGCGGAGTATCAAGTGTTTTCTCCTGTCGAGAAATCAGAGCTCGTTTAGTAACCTTTTGTTTTCATTATCATATTAATGATTGTTATGAACCAACCGCCGGTGGTGTTTTCTTTTATTGCGTTACATAAAGTATTTCGCAAGCAAAAAGGAAGCCGTCGTGTTGGGTTTGGGTCAGGGGTGCCTTCTGTTATGATTTGCCAGCCGCGCTTTGGTACGTATATTGTAAAATTTGCATTTATTGCAATACGATTTCAATATCACCGGCACGTGGCACGTGTGTGTGTGTTTGTGTACATACGCAAGCTGGCAGGTAGGCTGAATAGTAGTTGCGCGTGTGTGTGCGAGTCCGCTGCAACGTATGGTAAATGTATACGTGTATACATAAGCGAGACAAAAATTTCTCCACGCGCGCTTACACACATATTTGTTGGTTGAACTTGTGCAACCTTGCACGTAATGCGAATATTTTTTTTGTTTTGTTCATTATTATTGTTATGTTCTTATAATTATGAAAGAGGATTTTACCGTTCAAAACACGAGTGAGCAAATGATGTTTCGATTGATAACC